CTGAGATATGATGCTCTCTTCTGACCTGCAGGCATACATGGAGGCAGAACACTGTATACATAATAAAAATAAAATAAAAATGGGCTGGGTTGTGGTGGCGCACACCTTTAATCCCAGCACTTGGGAGGCAGAGACAGGCAGATCTCTGCGAGTTCGAGGTCAGCCTGGTCTACAAAGTGAGTTCCAGGAGAGCTAGGACTGTTACACAGAGAAACCCTGTCTCAGGAAAGGGAAGCTTGCCAAATCCAGGGGCTGCCCATCTGCAGCTAGGGCGCTGTCGTTCAGGGCAGCTTGAGGCCTCCGGTCCAAGGCTCTGGCTGAGGAGCTCAGCCGTGGCTGTGGGGGTGGAATTTCCGGTTTACCTTCCCAGGAGTTCTTCCATCTGCCATCTCCCCTCTTCCACACCCGGTACAGGTTTTCATTCCACTCCGCTTCATCAGAAGACCAGCCACGCAATTGGTTTTGCTCCCTCACGTGACCTAGAGACTGCTCATGGCCCAGCACGTCACGGAATCCTAGGTTTGGGAAACAAAAGATCTTGTCTCTTCCATTTCTCATTTAGCGCTTCAGTGAGAACGGCCGATGAGGCTTCTCAGCTTAGGTCATTGGGAAGCGCATGTATGATATAGCCAATAAATCAAGTAAACGAAGGTGCTTTAGAAACGGCTGGCTGGGCGCAGTGGCTCACACTAATCCAGCCCGCAGGATGCAGTGAAGCTCCGCTGTGAAGCGGAGGCTAGCCTGGTGTACATTGTGATTTCTAGGCCAGCCAGAACTGCATAATGAAACTCTGAGTCCAAAACCAGCCGGGTGAGGCTGGTGCGCTGTCCCAGCAGGTGAGGTCACTGGCCACCAAGACTGACAACCTGTGTTCTCTTCCCTAGAACTCACGTGATAGAAGCAGCGAGCAGAGACTGGTCCGCTGACCTCTGCAATGCCCCGCCCCAACACAAACAAACAAACAAACAAACAAATGTAAAAATAAAGTCAATCGAGGGGACTGTTTGCAGAGGACTAAAGAAAGACGTGTTATTTGGTTTTTGAGATTGCATCTCAACACCAGGATAGACCCTGGCTGTCCGGGAAATCGCTGTGTAGATCAATCTGGCTTCAAACTCGCGTAGATCCACTGCCTCTGCTTCCTGAGTGGCTGGGATTAAAGGGCCTGACCACAAAGCCCAGCCTCTAAGAAAAATTTTTAAAAATATTTATTTATTTATTATGTATACAATATTCTGTCTGTATCCTGCAGGCCAGAAGAGGGCACGAGACCTCATTACAGATGGTTGTGAGCTACCATGTGGTTGCTGGAAATTGAACTCAGGACCTTTGGAAGAGCAGTCAGTACTCTTAACCTCTGAGCCATCTCTCCAGCCCCTAAGAAAAATTTTTGACAGCCAATTTTTCTTAACTGTACTTATTAGCTTCTCAATATATAGCCTCCAAATACTTAAACGTGGTAATAGTATCTAAAGGGAAACTTGAATGCCGGTTTCTTTATACAGATTTGCATCTTTCCCCAGTTTTTTTCCTGTCTTGTCTAAATCCCAGAATGCCAAGTTTGGGAATGCTCCCAGAATGCCAAGAGATACATATGCAAGTACGGGAGGGCTCATGGTAGAACTCTAAGTATACATCTCGGTGAAAATTCCATATACATTGTAGAGTAAGCCAATTGCATCATATCTATGCCCAGGAGGCTGAGACAGGAGGATTGCCATGAACTCAAGGCTAGCCTGGGCTACAAAAAAAGGCTTTTCTCAAAAACAAACATCCCCCACTCAAATAAAGCATAAGCCAGTGTATAGTCTACATTTGCTAAGTAGTCATTTTTTTAAAAAAAAAACGCTATTTGGGTTAGAGTTGTACCTTATTTCCTTTTCCAGTTGCATCTCTTTTTAAATGCACTTTGAAGCTCTGTTGTTACGTATATATGCATTTAGAATGATTGCTTTTTAGGTTGAATTGGATATTTTCTTATTAGTGTTACCCTTCCTATCCTTGGTAACATTCCTTGCTCTGAAGACTACTTTGCAGGGTTTACCTTTTCCCACTGTTTTTCTTTTTCAAAAAAAGACTTATTTATTTTATTTGACGTGTGTAGGTGTTTTGCCTGCATATATGTTTGTGTACCATGTTCATGGAGTGCCCACTGGATTCCAGAAGAGGTCACTGGAGCCCCTGGAACTGGAGCTACAGCTGTGAGCTGCCATTTGGTTACAGGGGAATTGAAACCTGGGTCTTCTGGAAGAGCAGCCAATGCTTTTAACCTCGGAGCTGTCTCTCCAGCCTCCATCATTTTACTTCTAACTTGCATGTGTTCTTATTTAATGTGGGTTTCTTGTAGATGGCATATATTTAATTGTGTTTCTATAAATCAAATCTGAAAATCTCTTTTGGCTGAAGTACTGAGATAATTTACATATAATGTAATAACAGATTGTGGATTTGAAGTTACCATCTTGTTTTCTATATATCCATCTTTCTTTTTTCTTATTTATTTATTTTGATTTTAAAAAAAGAAAAAAACAAAGGGTTCAGTTTGCACTCAAACTTATTATACAGCCTAGGATAACCTTGAACTCTTGACCTTTGTGCCTTTATCTCTCAAGGGCTGAGATCATAGGCACGCATCAAATCTACCTTCTTTTGTAGTTTGGGGGATTACAACTGGATTCCATTTTGTCCCCCCCACTTCATAGTAATTATATCTCTTTGTTTGCCTGCCTACTCCCTTCTTTTAATCCCCTTGGTAAAATAGATCCTTGTCTGTAGCAGATCACAACCCCAAAGGCTCGTTTTCCCAACTTTTCTTGCAGTTGAGTGGGGGAAGACGATTATATTCTGGTTTAGAAAAGCTGAGAGGAAATCTCCTGAGTTCCTGGGAAGTGTTCCTCCCTTACAAAGGAAGACGAAGGAGAAATGGCCTCAGTCTTTTCTCTTCTGAACTGATTTCAGAGGTGAGGTAACTGGCCTGATGTTTGGCCATCACAACCATCCTTCACCATGGAGATGCAGCTGTGGGGACACAGCCAGCACATCAGTGGTGTCGGACTAGAATGCTGGCAGAAATAACAACCACCTAAGTGACACTATTGAGCCATTGCTCCTGCACTGCCTGCCCATGGTGGTTTGAATAAAAATGGCCCCAATAGGCTCAGTGGGAGAGGCTCTGTTAGGAAGTGTGTCACCAGGGGGTCAGAGGGTGGGGATGGGTCTCTTTGAGGTTTCAGAAGCTTAAGCCAGGCCCAGTGTCTTTCTCTATTCCTGACCCCTGTGGATTCAGATGTAGAACTCTCATCTCAGCTCCTTCTCCAGAACCATTCTGACTGCATGCTGCCATGCTTCCCCATGCTGACAATGGACTGAATCTCTGAACTGTAAGCCAGCCCCAGTTAAATGTTTTCCTTTACAAGAGTTGCCATGGTTGTGGTGTCTCTTCACAGCAATAGAAGCCCTAACTAAGACACTATCTCTGGGCTGGATGTATGAGATAAGAAAAATCCTAGGCTTTTCTATTCTAGCCCAAAGCTTAACTGCCAGGACCTAAGCAGCCTCTAACCACACAGTGTCTGCAATTGTTCTCTCATCAGTTTCTATGGTCCTGCATCTTGGCCATGTTTGTAGACCAAAACCTGTCTTTATGTCTTAGATGCTGGAAGAGATACCATGCGGTGTGGCAGTTAGTGACTTTGCGGAGAAGCCATTTTGAATGCATGTACTAATCTGTTTCTTTTAGTCAAGGTTTTACCTCTTACATGGAGAGCAGTGGGCGGCACAGGATACTTAGAACCCGGGCCCCGTGCATTTTAGGTAAATGCTCCCATGTTAGGGAAGCTGGGCTACATCCCCTGCCCAGTTTTTTAGTGTGTGTGTGTGTGTGTGTGTGTGTGTGTGTGTGTGAGCATGTGCACGCGCCATACTCTGAAACGCTGTATACCTCCTTTTGAGACACAGTCTCTCATTGGTCTAGAGCTCACCAATTAGGACAGACTGGCTGGCCAACCAGTTCCATGGAGCCACCTGTCTCTACCTTCTTTACACTAAGAGACGGGTGTATGTCCTGTTTTTGTGCATGCCCCCCCCCCTTTTGGTAGGTGCTGTATACGGAATTCAAGCTTGTGCTATGAGGCATGCAATGTACCCACTGAGCCATCTCTTAACCTCCCGTTCCTTTCTCAACAGAAAGGCAGGCGCAGTGGGAAACAGCAGTGAGGTAGGAGTCATGATGCATGATCTCTGTCGTAAACAGGCTATGTGGCCTCAGCCTTCAAACCAGCAAACCCCCAAGTCAGTCTCAGGACTGTTTGCACCGGGAGAAGACATTGGCATCAACCCATGTTTATAACTGGAGGTTCACTCTGGAGTTGTGCCGAAAGAGTTAAGCTGCTGCCATTCCAACCCGCTTTAGAGATGCTGACACCTAGGTTAGAGATAGGATTCCCCAGGGCCCTCTTCAATCTAGTGCAAAAGGAGCTTCCCCTCCTTCCATGCCCACAAGCTCTTCTCGCTGTTTCAGAATCTTTGCCTCAGATTCTGAGGAAGAGTGTTTTCAGAGATGAAACCAAGGCACAGATCAGGTTGGAGTGTGGGACAGTGGGTCAGTGCCCCTGGCTTTGAACTCCAGCACCAACAGAAAAACAAAACAAAACAAAAACAAAAACAAAAAAACCAACCCTGTCAAAACCACACAGATTGCTCCTCTGCTTGTAAATTTCAGAAGTCAAAGAAAAATACAGCCAGGCAGTGGTGGCCACACCTTTAATCCCAGCACTTCAGAGGATCCATGCAGATCCATGCACGTCAGCCTAGTCTGCAGAGTGAGTTCCAGGACTGTCGGGCTGCACAAAGAAACCCTGTCTTGAAAAAAGGAAAAAAGGAAAAAAGAAAAAAGAAAAGAAAAGAAAAATGCAGGGAGCAGTGGAGGAGCAGGGAAGCCAGGAGCAAACCTGTTCGATCTGCCCTTCCAGTGTTCCACCCAGAAAGAATCATTCACCAGGGGAGCCGGAGGGAGGACCCAGCGGTTAAGGTCGCCAGCTCCGCTTGCTCAGGACAGGAGCGGGATCTTAGCTTAAGTTAGGAGGCTCACAAAGATTCCAGTGCCAGGAGATCTGGCGCCCTCTTCTGGCCTCTGCGGGCATCAGCCTCATCCCCATAAAATACATTAAAAAAAAAGATTTCAAAAATAAAAATAACACGATAGAGAAAAGATGCATTTTAAAAAGCAGCAAACATAGGTGGAAACATCAGGACTTAGGGCTAGAAAAGAATTATTAGGTTAACCAAAAGCATAATCCATAAAAAACTGATGGATGGAGCCCTTATTCAACTAAGAAACCTCTACTCTTTGATGTCCTGTGGGGAGAAGCACAGGAGAGCCACAGGCTAGGAGCGTACTGTGAAAGAGCAATCCAGTATGAAAATGGAAAAAAGACATGAGCGCACGCTACAGAGGATGTGTAGGCATCAGACACTAGAGGGTCACTGATGAACCCTCCCACAGACCTGTCAGTCACTACCACCAAACCAAAAGTAGTGCAGGTGCCTGCCAAGTGATGGCAAGGACCTAGAAAAATTGCGTCACCACAGACTGCTGGCAAGAACTTGAAAAGGTGAAGCCATCCTTCTAAATTCTAATAAAACTCAACGTGCAGTTAACCACTGAATAACTCGTCTTCCCCTCCTCCCCCCTCTTTTTCTTGAGACAAGGTTTCACTATGTTGCTCTAGCTGTTCTGGAACTCACTTTGTAGACCAGGCTGGCCTCAAACTCACAGAGATCCGCCTGCCTCTGCCTGCCGAGTGCTGGGATTAAAGGTGTGCGCCACCACCACCTGACATGACTTGTTTTAGTTGTACTCTTTGGTATGAATCTCAGAGAAACAAAACTTGTAACCACATAAAAATTTACACATGGGAATCCATAGCCTCTTTATTCAGAAAAGACCACCTTGGAATAACTCTGATGTCATTCAGTGGTTGAAGGGTTAAAGGGGTGTGTCCTGATTAACATGGCAATGCCAACAAATCCCCAGGAAACTATACTATACTAAAGAGAACTACAGTTACATGCCGTGTAAAATTTCATTGTGTGGCATTCTGAAAACAATAATAATAAAAATAAATTATTTCAAATGGACAGATTCCTAGTGGCCAGGGTCTGGAGTTGGGTAGAGAAGGGTATTTGGTGATAAAAAGTCCTGGGATTGTTGCGGTGGCAATGGGCATGTCCTGTATTTTGACTGTCCCTCCTCCAGGATCTTCCTGTGATTCTTGATTGTGTTTTGTCTAAGTTTGCCCGTGGACAAACTGGGTAAAGCTTATTTGTCTGAATTATTTCTTTCAATTTCGCATGAGTGCACAATTGCCCTTAAATATAGAAGTTTAATTTAAAACCAGATCAGCCCAATAGCGAGCAAACTTTAACAGGGCGGAGGCGGGCAGGGGTAGAGTGGAAGTAAACCTGCCGTTGCAGCAGGTTGAAGGGCTCCCATCTTCATTAGGACTCCCGAGACCTGCTCCGCCAGGGCTTCTCCTGCCTCCTCCTCATTCCAGGGCTTTGAGACTTGGTCTGAGAGCCCCATTATTTAATTTCTGGCTACTGTTTGGCTGGTTGGGCTTTTTTCGGGGCACGTCTCTCTATGTAGCTCAGGCGGTCCTTAAACTCATTGTATACACTAGGCTGTCTCACGGAGATTCATTCACCTGCAGCTCCGAGTGGGGGGATTAAAGGCGTGGGCCACTTAGTCCAGCTTTGGCTGCTGTTTTACTGAGCAGAGCCGTGGAGTTTTGGGGAGAGGACTTAGCTCACTTTTGTGATAGGCTCCCAATTGTCTGTCCGCGGGAGGTATGGGGGAGGGGGTTCGGGGGCGAGCAGACTGGTCCTTAAGAATTACCACTGAATAATCACCACTGGCCGAGCACCTCTGCTAGCTGATCTCCCAAGATTCTGAAACACACATTTGCAAATGAGGAAAAGGAAACTTATCGAAGCTAACTCGTAACCCAGACAAGCAGCTGACACGAACCCAACTCTATTCCACCCCAAACCCTGGAGGAAGAACAGCGGTGAGAAGACAGACGTCCTCTTCCATCTGCTCTTTGTGTGCGACCCGGGGCGAATTCCTGGCGCTCTCAGTGGCGGGGTTCCTTATGTGGGCAAATCGGACAATCACAAAGTCAGGTTCCCCTCGCTCTGTGAAGGCGCCACACCTAGACGCAAAGTGGGACATTCCACCTGGCACCCCGCTGGCTGCTGTGTCTGTGTTTGAAGTTCAAACCCGCAATCAGCCTCAGGGGACAGAGGTGGAGTCTCGGGCGGGGCACCCCAAGTCTAGGGCATCCCAGCTTTTGAGCACGCTGAGGTGTTTAGTGGGACTGGGACGCTTGCCAGCTTGCCTGGCCAATCCCCGAGAGCAGGGTCCCCAGAGATTTCATTCTGCTTGGCCAAGGATTCACCCCAGCCAGGACAAATTAAGAGAGGGCCTGGCTTGCTTTAGAGGAGGCAGGGAGATGAGGTGACCCACTTCTCTGGAACTGCCCCAGGCCAAGGTGGAGTTGGGGTTATCTGAGCTGGGGTTATCAATCAGATGGCAGCAGTCGGGCTCAGGGAAGATGCGGGTCTCGACTGGTCCCCGGCCCCTGGAAAAAGAGGTAGAGAACCCTACCCCCCACCCTGCTCCAGCCACTCAGTAACTCTGTTAGGAACGGGACAGCCACACCCGGACGGGGACAAGTGGGAGTGCTGGCGCGCTACTCCATCCCCACTGAGTACCAAGGGTGCTAGACCAGGGCTCCCAGTTCCGGAAGACGCCAGACGCCGCTGTCCCTGACTGACCATCGGCATTGTTAGTAGGACCCGTGCTGTAAAGCCCACTCTGGGTGGAGCCAGTTTGCCCCTCAGTATCCTCGCTGGAGCCGCTGCATCCAGAGGTGTGCAGGGGATGGTGTGGGAAGTTCTGCTAAATGGGCGAGAACCTCATCTAAAAGCTCCGCCCTGTGAGCATGAAGCAGTTGAGGGTGGTTTGGGAGACTTGCTTTATTCTTGGGGTACAGGCTGTCCCCCGCTTCCAGCTACAATATGGCCAGGGTGGAAAGGGCTTAGAGTGGCCGCGTGGCTTTTGCTCTCCATGAACCCCCGAGCAAAGAACGCGGTCCCAACATTCGGAATAGACCCCGCTTCCTGCGGATCCCCAGACTCCTCTCGAGGGCCCCAGCGCACCCCTTGGACCAGCGAATGCAAACGCTCAGAGAGAACCGGACTCACGCTTGGCCTCCTGGAGCGGCAGTCCTGAAGCCAGCAGCAGAAATCCCAGGACCCCGAGGAGATTTTCCATACTGAATCCGAGCGCTCACAATCAGTCAGGGCTTAACTCGCACTGCCCAGTCCCATCCACCAGTAGTCACGGTGTCAGCTTCCTGAGCCCCGCTCTGATTTATGAAATACGGGGCCCGAGGAAGATCATGTGATGTTTTAAGCAGTGTGTAGCTGGATCTCTCGAATTCCACCTCTTAAGAACTCGTGCTCATGACTCACTTGCCCTTGGCATCTATTTATTGACTTCGGATGTGCGGTCTTTTCATTGTGTGATCCCACATTCGCTTCTCTCTTTTCTTCCTCCCCTCCCTCTTTCCTAGTTTAAAAGGAGCTTCCTAAAATCCTATTCCGACATTCTTCCTTGTTGGTGAACGTTCATCGCAGCTGCTCAGGCGACACATCTTCCAGAATTTGGACAGTGGCACCTAGCTAGCATTCCCTCCCCAAAATAAAGGGAAGCAACGACCAAGTTTTCAACTTTTGGCAAACATCCTATCACCACCTGAGGTGTTGATGCCCTTTGTGGCTGGCATAGTTCTGTCTTGCCTTTTTGGTGAGATGAGCAATTCGTCTTTAAATGGATTGGATATATTAAACTTTTCTGTAACAAATCTTAGTTTTGTTGAGGAAGCTGCAACAATCTAATTATCTTTTATTTTTTGCCTTCCCTGATCTATCAAGAGAGGTGGCAGCTACTGGGGCAGGAGTTAAAGGTTAGCTTCTGGAGATTAAATTTCTTCTTCTCCTTCTTCTTCCTTCTCCTCCTCCTCCTCCTTCTTCTTTTTCCTCCTCCTCCTCCTCCTCCTCCTCCCTCTCCTCCTCCTTCTCATCCTCCTTCTTCTTCATCTTCCTTCTCCTCCTTCTCCTCCTCTCCCTTCTCCCCTTTCTTCCTTCTCCTCCTCCAGAGGGTCTGGGTTCAATTCCCAGCACCAACATCGTGGCTCACAACCACTTATAATTCCAGTTCAAGGGGTCTTACAGCTTCTTCTGAGCTCTCCAGGCAGGTACCTGACATGTTTGTGGTACACAGACATTGATGAAAGTAAGTCACTCATTGCCACGTCCACAGCAGTGACTGCCGTGTAGTGACAAAATGCCTCTGCGCTGGCTTTTGCCTGCTGAAGGATTGGGGTTAGAGCTTCCTGGAGCGAAGCCCCAGGTGGTCCCCTGGCAATCAGTGGTCAAGATAGGACCTGATGCCATAGGCAGATCTCGTATTTGGAGATGGCCTTGAGAGCGAGCCCTCCTGGCACCCTGTATGATCTTTCTCTGTATTTCTTATCTTTCCTGTTCACAGCTGACCACTTACCAAGAAATCAAAGTATGTGCTTGGCTCGGCCCCACTATTCTTTAAAGCAGTCCTTGAGGAACTGAAGCATGCCCCACGCCACAGGAGCCTTGGAAACTTTATTAATAATGAAACAGAAGAACAAAAGACTATAAATAAAAACTAGTCCCCCACGGTAGAATGTGGTTAATGGTGCGAGACAGAGTCCTAAGAGACAAAACTGAAAGTCCTTGCCAACACCTTGCCAACATCTTAATCATGTAGAAGGAGTTTTGTTTGATTGTGCTTAGCCTTGATTTATGTCTGGAACCCTGAATGGGGTGATGCAGTGAGCCTGCCAAGTTTTTTGATCTGTTTTGTATATAAACTGAAGCTTTGCAGAAGTAAAATTGCAGCAGATTTTCACTACACAGTGTGTCTGTCTGTCATTCCCTTGCGTCGTATCCTGGCTATCCTATCCTTCACCCTGTTCTCCAGTGGATAGCGGTCTCCAAGAGGGACGGTCTGTGGCAACTCATACATGTACCAATTTTAAAGGAGGTTTGTGATTCCAAAGAGCTGTAAATAGGATAAGCCGTTTTAGAAAACCAGACAAAGGCAACATGAGGAACCCAAGGTCAGGGCAGTCACCCAAAGGGACACACAAGGTGGTGACAGGCTGCAGCCGAGCCTAGGGGTCACAGCTGAACCTCAGGGAGCCCGGTCTGGCCTCTAACTCGCTGTGCAGTTGAAGATGATCCTGAATTCTGATCTTCTTGCTTCCACCTCCTAGATGCAGAGATAACAGGTGTGTGCTACCACACCTGTGTGGTTCTGGGGAGCTAATCCAGGGCGCTATTGCTCTAGGCAAGCACCCTTCCAACTCAGCTTCATCCCCAATGCTCCTTCAATTAACACTCTTTACTTTTAGAAATTGCTCAGTTCAAACTGGAGTTTTTAAATGAGATCACAAAATCTACTTAAGATCTAGTCCATAACCTTTATTTTTTCTTTTCTTTTTATGTGTATGGGTGTTTTGACTACTTATATGTTTTTACACCACAGGAGTGCCTGGTGCCTGTGGAGGCCAGAAGAGGCTGTCAGATCTCCTGGAACTGGAGTTATAAATGCTCATGAACCACCTTGTGGTTACAATGGTGGTACCAAGAGTACCATGTGGCAAGTGCTCTTAACTGCTGAGCCATCTCTTTAGCCCACAGACCCCTAACTCATAAATAGCTGCTCAATAGTTCCCTTTAACAAATTGTTAAAACTCAGGGTCTTAAAACAACTAAAATTTATTAACTTGCTGGCCTGGAAGTCAGAAGTCTGGGATGGGTCTCAACTAGGCCCAAACTAAAGTGGCTTCAGTGAAGAATCCACTTCTTTGCTTCTCTAGTCTCTGGCTTCGCACACTTCCTGGTTTGTGGTCTCCTCCCTCTCCACAGCCATCAACGGGAGTGGAATCTTGCTCACATTTCAGTCTGGCACAGATTCTTCTGATCCTCTGTCTGATTTGCAGGTTCCTCATTATTCCATGGGACCCACCAGGACGTTCCAGAACCTTTTCCGGTCTCAAAGCCAGTGGTCAGCCACTTTTGATGTAACCTTCATTTTGGTATTTGCCTTGTCACAAATTCATAGGTTTTGTGGGTTAGGATTAGATACCTCTGGGCCATTATCCTTCCTCACAGTTATCCAGAAGGTGGCTGGCAAAAAAAAAAAAAAAAAAAAAAAAAAAAAAAAAAAAAAAAAAGAATAAATAAATAAATATCCTAAAACAGGTGATGAGAATGGTGTTGGACAATAACCCGCGAATTTCACATACCTCTTGAAACTTGTGCCAGGGTAGGAAGGTAAGAGTAAACTCAAAGGGACCAGCTCCAAGAGAGAGGCAGCCCATGTGACTGCCAGGCTGTAATGAGGGCATTTGCACGTGTTGTGAGCAGAGTCACGGTTTTCAGATTTAAGCATTAGCAGATGACTAAGAGACCTCTGCTGTGTCCAGTTCTTGGCTCTCTCCTGCCCAGTGGCTCTCTGCATGAACGAGTAATTAAAGCCCTTGGTTCTAAGGCTCATCGAGCTCTGAGCCTACTCCTTCTCCAAAATGGTTTTTTTTTTTCCTTAGCTTTAGAAAAGAAGAGAAAAAAACCACATGGGTTAAAACGTTCTTTCAAGAGGTTCCCTCCATTGTCAACTTGTCTTCTATTATTATTTTTTTTCTTGTTTTGCTTTTTGAGAGAGGGTTTCTGTGTTTCTTTGGAGCCTGTCCTGGCACTAGCTCTTGTAGACCAGGCTGGCCTCTAACTCACAGAGATCCGCCTACCTCTGCCTCCCAAGGGCTGGGATTAAAGGCGTGCGCCACCACTGCCCAGCTCTGACTTGTCTTCTGTTGGGAGCAGTGAACCCCCAGATCCTGAATTTCTTGTAAACAACTTGTTTTCCTCTGCTCTGAGACAGCCTGCAGCTGCTCTGAGCATGAGACCCTCAGGAGTTCCTGATGGCAGGGGAGTGGTTTCTGGTGGATTTGGCTGGGGCTTGGCTATCAGTTAAGGATCTAAGCGACTCTGGTACACAATAAAGGGGGGCATTCTTGGAGGCATTCCTGTTTCAAGGATGACCCATGTCTCTGTGTGTCTTTGTGTGTTTAAATCTCCAGGCCCTTGCCTGACTTGTGAATGGCCCTGTAGTGCAGACGCCGCAATATAGGAGTAGTGTCCTGTAGTACAGGCGGTGGGTTTTCACAGTCTTCTATTATTACATTTTATTTATGTAAAGTGCATGCATGTGCATGCATGCTTGTGTGCCAGAGTGCATGTGTGGAAATTGATTCTTCTACCTGTGAGTCCCAGGGACTGACTCAGGTTTGTAGGCAGCACCTTTCCTGCTGTGCAATCTGGAACCTGTGTCTTTTGTTGAGACCAATATTTCTCTTCCTCCCTCCTTTCCTCCCTTGACAGGGTCTTTCTATGTAGTTTAGACTGGCCTGAAACTCCCATCCCTTTGCTTTAGCCTGCCCGCTGCTGAGATCACAGGCAGCTACAATCTGGACAATTTTGAAGGCAGTCCTAACTATCGCCAGTGTGCGGATTTAAAGTCATGTAAGAACAATAGGAGTGTGAGAGGCTGAAGAAAGATGGGTTTCTAGAGAAAGTGTGAGCTGCTTCTGACATCATAAGTTGAGCTAACTAAAGTGTAAACACACATGGAAAGAGAGCAGCCGGGTTGAGGGGCCACAGGAACAGAAGAGAGACTTTATTCTTCTGAGTCTGGGTCTCACACAGCCACGGAACCTGGTCTGTAGCTGAGGATAACCTTGAACCTCTGATCCCCCGTCTCTATTTTCCAAATGCAGGAACTCCAAGTTTGTGCCACCACATCCAGGTTTCTTTAAAGCTGGGGATTGGACTTAGGGTATACTAGGTGTGCATTCTGCCAGCTGAGCTGCAATCCCAGCCCCAAGAAAAATAATTTGAAAAATAAAACATTAAAACATGCTCTAAGGTGATGAACCTCCAAAACATTGTGCCAGGTGAGGGAAAGCATACATAAAGGTCACAGAATTTCATTTATATCAATACCCAATAGACAAATCCATAGGAACAGAAGGAGGGTTGGTGATTGCCAGCAACTGTGGGGAAGAGGGAATGGAGCGACCAAGAAATGGCACTGTGGGGAACAGGCAGAGGTGCTGGCTGGACAATGTCGGGAATGTACAAGAAGCTATCGGCTTGTTCAGTTTAATCAATTAATATATATATTTTTTTGATTTTCGAGACAGGGTTTCTCTGTAGCTTTTTTTGGTTCTTGTCCTGGAACTAGCACTTGTAGACCAGGCTGGGCTTGAACTCACAGAGATCCGCCTGCCTCTGCCTCCCGAGTGCTGGGATTAAAGGCGTGCCCCACCACCACCCAGCAATTAATATTTTTTTTTTTTGAGAGAAGGCCTCATGTAGCTCAGGGTAGTATTGAACTTGCTATGTAGTTGGTAGATGAGGCTAGCCTTGAGATTCCCCCTTCTCCATTTCCTACAAGCTTGCCTTACTATACCTGGACTTGAGCTGTTTACTTCAAAATGGCTAATTAGGAGGCCGTGGAGATGGCTCGGTGGGTTACATTGTTTGTTGTGCAAGCAAGGACCTGAGTTTAATCCCCAGGATGCTCACAGAAAGCTGGGTATGAACACATACCTGTACCTCGAGAGCTGTGGTGGAGGTGGTGGTGGTGATGGCGGTGGTGGAGGTGGTGGTGATGGTGGTGGGTTGGTGGTAGTGAAGATGTGGAGACAGATGGATCCCCTTGCTAGCCAGTCAGTCTAGTCAAAAGGCAAGCCCTAGGTTCAGTGAGAGACTTTGTTTCAAGAATTAAGGGAGTAATCAAGTAGGGCACCTAGTATCCTCCTCTGGTGCAAGTGCAGGCCATGTGCACGCACACACACACACACACACACACACACACACACACACACACCGTTAAAATAGTTAATATTGTCATGGGAATCTCACATCGATGAAATTAATGAATTTTATAGGTTGATGAGATGGCTCAGTCAGGAAAATACTTGCCTCATAAACAGGAGGACCCGACTTTGATCCCCAGACCTGTGTTAATAAGGCAGGGGTGACGGCGTGCTTGGAAGCCCAGCACTGGGGAGTCAGCGACAGGTGGATCTCTGGCCGAGCAGACTAGCCTACACAGCAAACCCAGGAGCCTGTCCCAAAAAAGAGGTAGATATCAGCAGAGGAGCGGTACCCAACAGGGTCCATTGTACATGTGCACAAACACATACAACCCCCACAATGCACCTACACACATGTGCACATATGCACACACATGTATACAAAAGAGTGAACATGGATGATTACGCCAATAACAGCCTTGACCAGCAAGGGTTTTGCTAAATTGAGGAAATGCAGGAGTCAGGCTCCTATTGGTCAGGAGGCATCAGCCAGGTGGAGAAGTGTGTTGGATGTTCTGATTGAACATGTCAGGGTTCACAGGGTGGCATAGGTGGAGGGGCTACAGGTCTATCTGGGAGGCACTGCTTGGCACAGATACAGTAAAAGCCACAGAGATTAAAACTCCGGCAGCTACATTTTAAAACGAAGCTGTTGGGGCTGGAGAGATGGCTGCTCTTCCAGAGGATGCAGGTTCAATTCCCAGCACCTGCATGGCAGCTCACACCTGTCTGTAGCTCCAGTTCCAGGGGATGTGACACCCTCACAAAGACACACATGCAGGAAAAATGCCAGTGCACATGAAGATAAACTTAAACAAACATGAAGCTGTTGCAATGGCTTCCTTAATGAGAGATTCCTTTAGCCCGTGCAAAGTCTTTGCTAACTAGTGTGTGTTTTACGGCACACATCAGTTTAGGTCTGGACACTGTAGGTACTCAAAAGCCATGTGTCTCAGGGGCCATTCTCTCT